TTCTAGTTTAATGATGAAATTAGTAGCTCCTGACACATTCGTGTACTTAGGTTTTTGTCCTGTTGCACAAAGAAGTTGTGAGGCTCATGGAACAAGTAATTATAGCTAGAGCAGTGTGATTTCCAAGACATATTCCCTAACACTGTGTTGTAGACAGCAATTCACATATATAACCATCTTACAGCCTTTTCTTTACTTTATTTACTTACAAGTTTCAAGCTTTAAGTTTGACTGTATAAATAGAATTATGTATCAGCTCTGTGGAAAAGATTGAAAAAAATATTCATAACAATGCCTGCAATACTCAGCTCTAGAAGATATCTGAGAATCAGTATTTTTGAGATTACAAGCATTCCATTCTTTGTAATTAGTAAGTATTCTAGGACAAGGAACTTAAGACTTTTTAAAAAGTGAGATTTTTGAAGGATGTAGGGCATGAAACAAAAGATGAATATTTAGCATTCACTGGCATGGTTTATGCACACAGAGCCCTATCAATGTTGGAGCAATCACACTTGAGTTTCTCTGGGGGCTTCCAGCAGTCAAACTTAGACATACATGTTTTCAGAGTTCAGCTGCATGCTGCTTGGTACATGCTGGTTATCAGTATTTTTTTATTTTTATTATTATTACTATTTTTCTGGTAGTACCAGGGTACATCTTGGGATGAAATTGCTACAAAATAAGAAAATATTTGTATTTACTCTAGTAGGGTTTTCTATTGCACACATCCTTGATGAGATTGAACAATTCTTGTCATTAATACTGGAAAAAATCATGAAGAAAACTGATATATATAGTGTTTATTCAAAAATATGCATTCAATTTCTTTGTCCTGACATGTCACATATGTTTCATAAAGTGAAAACAATGCCCAGAATGGCTCCTTTCTTGTGAGTGGTTGCATGCTTTCCTGTTATCCCAGTGTCAATATGGTTTATGTTGCATTAATTTTCAGAGAGTAGCATGGCTGCCATAGCTAGCTGTGTCACAGGGTTAATTCTGTGGTTCCTGGAAGCAAGACAGTAGTTTGTGTTTTTCTTGACCTTATATTCAGTACTTCAAGTAGCAACTGTGTATTAGAGAAACAATTTCTGAAATGTACAGTTGCCTCCTAATTGCTACAGTTGCCTCCTGGTTTGCCCTGCTTCCAAGATGCTTTTGTGGTTTGTGCCACAGTGTAGAACATGTTATCAAATGCTGATATTCCCACTGCTGAGGAAGGGCTACTGA